CGAATATTAACCAATACATGTCTATTAGAACATGAATGTTCTACTCCCATGTGAATGGATTGATTTCTTTTTCTCCATTGCACTAATCACATCTTGTCCTTTATTTTGTGAAAGGAACATGTCGAATTTGAACAAGCTCGACTTCACCGCTTTGGAGGTCTTTGGAGGGAACTACCTCAAGTGGGTCCAAGATGTGAAACTCCACCTCACTGCAAAGAATTTGTGTCCCGCCATTGAAGATGAGACGGACAACCCTGTTGGCAAAGCTAAGAAAGCCACTGCTATGATATTCATTCGAAAACATATCCACGACCCCTTGTAAATTGAATATCTTGCTGATGAGGATCCACGAGCACTCTGGGTCGCTTTGGCTGATCGTTTTGATCACCAAAAGAACATCTTTTTGCCTGATACAAGACATAACTGGCATCATTTGCCCTTCCAAGACTTTAAGTCTGTGAATGAATAATATGCTAAAGTATGTCGAATCCGATCACTTCTTAAATTTTGTAATGAAACTTTGACCAAAGAGGATCTCCTGGAGAAGACCTAGTCGACATTATTTGCTACTAATATTGTCATGCCGCAACAATATAGAGCTCAGAAGTTCACTAAGTTCTCGGATTTGATCTCTGTTTTACTTCTCGCTGAAAAGCAAAACCAGCTGTTGATGAAGAATCATCAAGCTCAACCTACTAGGGCGACTGATGTGCCTAAGAGCACTTCCACTGGGGTGCAAATGTGCCAGCACCCAGTCAAAAAACCAAGCTGGGGGGTTAGTGCATTCACTCTAGCCCATAAACTTGCCTGGCACCTAGCCCAAGCCAAGCAACAGATCAGCCTATTTTTGACAAACCCAGAGACCGGCTTATTTGGCTGGCACGTGTAGTTCACTCGCGAGTAGGCGGGAGTAGGGGACATGGGTGCAGGCGACGGGACCTGCTGTCAGCCCACTTGTTCTTCACCCGGAAGTAGGCGACATGGCCTTCTCAGTGTCGTTGGATTTCCAACGGCTAGTTTTTCTAGACCGTTGGATTTCCAACGGTAAAAAAAATTTAAATTTTACTTTTAAAATAGACTGTCCGATCACAGATTAGCAGTCCACATTTTTTTCCCAAAAATAAAAATAAAAAGGCCCAACGGTCAGAATTATAACCGTTGGCCACGTGGCGTATCGAGATTGGTTGCAAATCTTAGTGGAAATCTATTCACAACATAGTACGTTCAGATAATGACATGTGGCGTTACAAGATTGGTTAAAAATCTTATTCAAAATTAAAACTATTTTATTTATTTATTCTTTTATAAAAAAATTTTAAAAATTTTAAATGGGCCGAGTGCTAGCGCATTTTGTAGGGGTGGAGATGCTTTGGCCTATTATTGTTCACTGGGGTATATTACTATTCACTTGAGTGGATAAATGCGCTGGGTGCTGGCACAAAGTCTTTAGGGGTAGAATTGCTCTAAAGCACACTATAGCACAAGCCAACGCCCAAAACACCAAAAGAGGCATGGTAGGGGCGGCCAGAAGCCATCCCACCAAGATTAACAGAGTCAAGGCCCATCCAAGGTAGGAAACAAAGCTCAGAAGCGTCCAAACCTCTCTCCTAAGGCCCTAAACTTCAAGAATAAGGGCAAAACACATGAAACCATGGATGCAGATATGTGATATCGTTGTGGTTCAAATGACCATTGGTCCCGTGTTTGCCGAGCTCCCCAGAAGGTTGTAGCTGAATATCATTCTCGTCGTAGGAAGTTTGAATTAAACTTTGTACAAGTGGACGATCTGGAAAGTATAAAGATGGAGGTTTCTGACTTTCAAGAGGCTATCACACCTATAGAAGATCAAAATCTTAGACATAGACTTATTTTTTAGTTAAATAAGACCATGGGCCAAATTCCACAGTAATGGCTGAACCCTCTCTTGTTTTTTGGTTAAATTTTGAACAATTTTCCTTTATGTTTGGATTATTTGTTGGTGATTTGTTTTTTGGATATTAAGTTTTAATTAATTTCCATCTTTGAATACTTAAAAATTATTTTGAATGGATATTTGTTTTTTAGAATTTTTATGCATGTGATTGATTTAAATTAATTTTTCATTATTGGAATGACTAGTTGGTAAGTTAGTTGTCTAGCCGATAGTGCAACCACACACATTATTTTGCGTGAACACATCTATTTCACTAACTTCGTACCTAAGAATGCACCTTTGACAACCCTCTCAAGCTCATCTAACCTAATTGAAGGATACGGTAAGGCACGTATAATGTTGTCCAATGGTTCAATCTTGACCATTGATGAGGCTTTTTATTCTCCATATTCCGGAAGAATTTTGTTAAGTTTTAAGGATATTAGAGATAATAGTTGCCACGCTGAACCCCTCATAGAAAACAGAGCTGAATTTCTGTGCATAACTTCCTACGAATATGGCTAGAAGCGTATTCTAGAGAAGATGAAGCGTATCCCAAGTGGTCTGTATACTACGACTATACGCCCTATATAATGCCACTATGTGGCTGGCCCTACCTCTGGGATCGTGCACCAAATTACAATTTTGTATGATCGTTTAGGACATCCTGGATGAATAACAATGCGCCATATCCTCAGATCATCACACGGGCATCCACTAATCCGAAGTTTAGGTTCGATTCAAGGAATTGCATGTCAAACATGTTATATGGGAAAACTTATTACTAAACCTTCTTATGACAAGATTCGTTCGAATCCTCCCATTTTTCTACAATGGATTTAGAGGGACATTTGTGGACTGATTCACCCTCTATGTGGACCATTTAGATATTTTATGGTTTTGGTTGACGTTTCCACACGTTGGTCACACCTGTGCTTGTTGTCCACAAGGAACGCTGCAATCTCCAAACTGTTGGCTTAGATTATCAAGCTCAGGGCTCACTACCTTGATTATCCGATCAAATCAGTATATGTCGATAACATGAACCATATCGAAACTCCTAAAGAGCTTGCGAGAACTGCCACGCACCTGAAGTCGGAATTTAAGATGAAAGATCTAGATAAGACTCGATACTTCTCGGTATCGAGATAAAACATTGTTCGATTGTAATCCCAGTACATCAAACAAACTACACCCAAAAGGTGTTGCGCTACTTTAACAAGGATAAAACAAAGCCTTCGAGTACTCTTGTGGTCGTTCGATCGCTAGATGCAAAACAAGATTTCTTCCGTCCGAAGGAGGATGATGAAGAGATTTTAGAGCCTAAAGTTCTTTATCTAAGTGCGATAGGCACTTTATTCTACTTAGCTCAATACACTAGACTCGACATTTCCTTCGTTAATCTTTTGGCAAGATACAGTAATGCACCAACACGCAGACACTGGACTGGTATGAAAGACATATTCTGGTACCTTAAGGGTACTATGGATTTGAGCTTGTTCTATCCCTACAGATCCTCGAGTGATGCTGCACATTTTGCTTCTCGAGTCGATTCTTGCCTTGTTGGTTATGCCGACGCATGATACTTATCTGATCCGCACAAGGCGCGTTCTCAAACGGGTTATGTCTTTACAGTTAGAGGCACCGAAATCTCTTAGAGGTCAACTAAACAGACCTTAGTTGCCACTTCATCTAACCATGCTGAAATTATCGCCTTACATGAAGCAACTCGGGAATGCTTTTGGTTGAGAGCAGTTGTGGGCCATATTCGATCTCTACCCTGTCGTAGATGTCCCTACGACAATCTTTGAAGACCGACATGCATCGAACAGCTCAAGAAGGGTTATATCAAAGAAGACAATACCAAACACATTGAGCCGAATTTCTTTTTTTCACATCAACAACAAGAGTATTAGAAGATTGAAGTCATGCAAATCCTTTCACAGGACAATATGGTCGACCTTTTCACCAAATCATTACCGAAGACGACGTTTCAGAAGCTTGTTCAAGGAATTGGTATGCGTAAACTTTATGGGTTGTAACATTGCTATTTCTCTTTTGAATTGTGTCAAACTCAGGGGGAGTATCTTGAGGATACTTGTTTGATCTTAATGTACTCTTTTTTCCCTATACGATTAAGAGCATTTTTCCCACTGGATTTTTGCTACCTAATTAGGTTTTAACGAGACAACCACCTTGAGTTGATCATATCCCTAATGACGTCTCATAGATGTTTCATTTGACTTTTGCATTTCCCACTCATTTTTCTTTAGACTATGGATTTTGTCCCTACTCGGGTTTTTGCCATAGCCTTAGAGTTTTTTAGTGAGACTTACTACTTTATGCAAGTTCCTACCTTAATGAGTATGAGCATTGTTCCTTAGAATCAGTGTCAACGAGTCGACTTCCTCAACTTTTGCATGATGCTGGATCTACCTTGAGTATTTACACACTCAAGGGGGAGTGTTGTGAACTTTCCTAGTTTAAGTGTGATTGTGTAAATCCTAGATTAGATTTGATTCTAGTTATTCTTTCCTAAATGGACTTGTATTCCTTGGGGATGAAGGATTTCTTCTCTCCTTTTACTACTATAAATAAAGGCACTACGTAGGGGGGATAACATATCCTCAATACACAATTCCCCTACAATTCTAGAAATGCATCTCTCTTCTCTCTCTACCCTTGCTGTCGGCCCCTTCTCCTTGTCAGATAAAATAGGCTACAACACATTTCAGTTTTTTAACTTTTTGTGGTGGGTGAGAGTATGTGAGTGAGAAAATAAGACATTGAGGTGAATCTAGCAGCACTCCAATATTATCTAACTTTATATACGATTTATAAATAATAATATCTCACACATAATAAGCATCTATAAAACAGTCCAAGTAGGAAATAGTTACAATATGAGCTGAATAAGGAAAATGCTAGTTAAATAGGCTATCTTTTTAGACCATACTAGCATTTCTGCACGCACTCACACACATCTAAAAGACTTTTTTTTAATCACATGACTCTACATGCGAGTTATAGAGATTTACTGCATTCATCTATGTGGAACGTATTGTGATTTGATACATGTTTTTATAAATATAAAAAATGAAATTTACTAAACTGACTATTGTGTTTCGGTGCAACGACAGTAGCACATTTACATAATAAGGCTCATGTCTTAGTAGTTCAAAGAAATACAAACGACTTTTGAACTAATTTTTCATCTCCTTCTATGTTGCTTTGACATTTATCCTATCTAAGATCTCACCTGCTATTAAATCAAAAGTTGGTTTGATGAGAACTTAAGGTCATGAGAAGTCCTGCATTGTGGTCAGGAGAAACCAACTAAATCAATTTTAGAGATACTTGCAAGCTTTCAGTCAAAAACATCACAATATTTTTAAGTAATGGGAATTATCTAATGCTGTCAGGTTGACGAAAATTTTAAAATTGAATGCCAACACCTCTTCTTGGTCATTTTTTCACCTTGACACTAATGGTTCAAAATCTGCAATAAAATGATCAGTCTATATTCTCAACCACCCAACTCGAAAACCATCTTTTTTTGCAGCGAGATTTTCTATGATAATCTAAACAAAGAAAACCGTTTTAAAAATAATGCTCACTAAATTTAAAAGCTAAATTAGATTAACAGTCCTGTGGTGATAGGATAATCGGAAGATAACTCGTCGTGAAAAAAATTAGAATTTAAACCCTCGTAATGATATTTGTTAGAATTTAAGCCCAAAATTAACATTTCCGTCTAATTCTCTATTAACATTCTCACCCCACCTCATTTTTTTTTCCAGACAGGAGTTAGTTCGTAACCAAGACGATACGAAATAGAAAAATTTGAGATGGGCCCTAGATAGTAGAACAGCACGAAATCTTAAGATTATTGGTCAGTTAACAGTTAAGGATGATTTATTTAGGTAATCCAGACAATAACTTGTCATCAGATTCTCACAGCAAGCTCCTAAAATTTCATTAAACTAACTTTAACAGAGTATAGAGTATAGGGATGAATGAAGAAATACAAAGAAAATTGAATCGAATGAATTACTTACCCAGTTGAGATTTCGATATTCAGATAAGTGTGTGAGCCAAAAGATTCGGCCGTCATCGTTTCAATCTTCAAAACTGGGCATGTATTGTAGGTCTGGAGCAGTATGATCATTTTAAATACCTGAACTTCGGTTTGCAACCCCCAAGGAATCCACAACAAATCCATTTTATCACTCTCCATTCCACCATTTGGATTTAAAACCATAAGTTACTCATTGAGAGAAGAATGAATAAACAGAAAGAATGCCTCATGTAAAAAGAAGAATGTAAGTTTGATTTGACAATTGTTTCCTGGATCGCAGTCCATAGTAGTAACAACCCTACAATGCTTGTCCTGGTACATTTGAAGAACCATGAGGTCATGTCAGATTGCAAAGTACAAAATATTCCTAGTCGTCAATAGTTATTGCAGCACATGGTATCAATTTCATCGCATGTCAGATTGAACATGGTATCGGGATAATTTCAGCACATGTTATCAATTTCAGAACACTATAATGCAATACCATCTACTTCGTCAATGCCTAATAAAGAAAATCAAAGATGAAAAAACAATCAAATAACTGGGGGGAAAACAAAATAGGATTAAATATCGAAACCTCCACAACCTTTTAGTGTTATTTCAAATTAGCCTCAATATTTTTAAACATTTCAAACTAGTACTCAATTTATTGAAAATGTAACATCCATTAAACTCTAGTTAAAACATCTATTAAATTAACTAGGTTACTTTGTCTCCAAAATCAATAGAAGGTCATGAACGTACAGCCTCCACCAGCTAACGATTACCACCACCCCCATCAGGCCATCACTTTCAAATCCAACACAAAACCAACAACTCCAACCTACAACTCAAGCCGTCAACATCGAGAAGAAGCTCATGGAAGTCGCTGAAACGCTATGGGTTATCATGATGTTGCCACAAACATCTTCATCACCCACAAAAGAAGAACTGGAAGCTTTACGAATCGAGAATCAGCAAATGAGGAAATCACATAAGCAGAAACAAGCTCCTTGAAACCCTATCTGAATTCTTAACCCTCTTCTTTGTTAGGAGATTACCCTCTGATGTAATTTCAATTTGTGTCTATTTTCGATTCAATTCAATGCTTGTTTGATCGTTAGGTTCCATATCGTATAAACTATGCTTGAAATTTAGAATTAGAGGCAACTACTATTAATGTTGACCATGATATACCCAGTTAGTGGATTTTGAATATAATCTATATTTGAAAAATTAACTGGGGTAACAGATTTGATATTTTCAATAGGTTGAGTACTTGTATGAAATGTTTAAAAATGTTGAGTCCAATTTGAAGTAACACTAAAAATATGAGTCCAATTTAATCCAACAAAATATCATAATTATTGAAGAGGAAAAAAATTCGAAGAAATAATTTACCTGCTCCCCCAAAAAAATTGTTGTGGCCTTAGAAATCAAAGAAATGAGAAGTGCAGAGGAGATTACCGGCTTTCAAAGCTCCAAGAGAGTGTGGGCGTCAGTGAAAGAGAAAGGGCATAGGAGGGATATATGCTGTAAATTACAACTTGAGGTCATGTCATATTGCAATTTGCATATAGGTGATCCAATCCATATATGGCATTCTGTCATATACTTAGTTTGCAACTCGGCAACTGTAATAATACAGAAATTCAGTCATTTTGAAATGCAACTCATTCAACTCAAAATAGAAATTAACGACAAAGTTAAAGTGAAGGGAGAAGTACCCGTTATTCAAATTGATAATGCGGTCAACAACATTTTCTTGCCGTTCTCCTCCAGTTGAAGTTTTTTTTTCAGAATTACTACATAAGGAGGAAGAACAATACAGTTATATGCAAGGTCCCAGTGAAGCAGCACGATCATTTTTTTTTCTATATGGAACGATCACATCGTGCGTTTTCATTCTCTTTCCTCACGCTGTAGGATTCAGTTTTATCTGGCATTTTTTGTGTCGCGCAAGCGCAATGTGGCTTCAGTTTTCTTTTTTCTGCTTCTTCTTCTTCGAACAAGGAGAAGTGAATCGAACTTAAACATCTCACAATGAGTTAATCATATTAATAATGTGGTTTAAATTTATCTTTGGCGAGAATCGAACTTAACACCTCTCATAAATAAAGAGGAATATCATTAGACCGTAATACTAAGGAACACATTTTTTTATTCTTATTTAGATTTTTTTTCTATTAGTATCTAAAATAAAGGAAAGGGATCTTCGGATCCCTTCCTCCTAATCCGCCAAATCAGGGAATATTTGTCATTGAAAATTAATCCAACGACTGAAGTTATTATAACTTTTAAAGTGGATCCCTGTTTGCAGCCGTTTGATCAAATTTCAATGGCATAGATTCCCTAATTTGGTGGATTAGGAAGAAGGGATCTGGAGAGGATCCCTTTCCTAAAATAAAATGCTTATTTTCTTTTTACGGAAATACCCTTAGGATTACGAGGACATAAATCTTATTCTTTCAAGACAGGCGTTTTTGTATGCTATACCGTATATAATACCAACTGATCATGAGATTTGTGTACTGTCTTTCTTCCCACTTGTACTGCCTTTCTCCCCACTTATTATGCCATTATCCAAATTATGATTTGTAAGCATGTCATGATCAAACAGCCCACCCGACATTTAAGGTCGTCTTTTATGTCGAAGTTAAATACTTGCATCTTCTTCCTTTTCTTGTATGATTAACCATGAATTAATTGGTGTTGTTAGTTAATATATAGTTGATATCGATTGTATGATCATCAAGAAAATCCAAGTGTATTCACTATTATTCTACCTGTTGGAAATGACGATAATATTGAGTTTGATTTTGGACAATTATGCATTGATTCTATAAATTCTATTTGTGGCCTTCTTTGACTTAATACATTTATGCATTTTTATTTTATATTTTATGCATGTAATTTTTCTTGGGATGTGATATTCACACACCTTATTTTACTTTTCACACATCCTTCTAATTTTCAGCCGTCAGATCTGATGAATTGAAAAAAATCAACGGATAGAAATTAACAAGGGATGTGTAAGAAGTAAAATGAAGTATGTGGATAGCACACCCTTTTTTTTTTTCCTTCAACAAACACTATTATTCACACTAAGGGAAGGATGTGAGTTTAGCCTCACAATGAGGTAACAATAATATCGTTAAAATTCGTTTAACGGATAGAAATTAACAAGGGGTGTGTAAGAAGTAAAATGGGGTGTGTAAGAAGTAAAATGGGGTGTGTGGATAGCACATCTTTTTTTTTTCTTCAACAAACAATATTATCCACACTAAAGGAAGGAGGTGAGTTTAGCCTCACAATGGGCTAGCAATAATATCATTCAAATTCGTTTTTGGCAAGAGTTAAACCTAAAATCTCTCACTTACAAGTGAAAAATAATATCACTGGATCATAGTATTAAGTGGCATATCTTATGCATGCAATTGAAAAAATATTTAATTTTCATTTCACATGGAAAACATCCATTGTAAACTTCAAATTTTGTCCTAAATCCTTTTCATATAGGGGGTTACTGTACACGTACCCTCCGTCCCAAATCTATAAATACCACTCTCTCTGGTGATAAAATTTTCTCACATCAACATCAATCATCCTCTTTGCTTCCTCCTTTCATTCTTAATTTCCTTGCTCATTTTCTAAGCTCTTAAAAATCATCATCATGGGTGTCTTCACATACGAAACCGAATACACCTCAGCCATCCCCCCTGCTAGGTTGTTCAATGCCCTTTTTCTTGATATTGACAACCTCATCCCAAAGATTGCTCCACAAGCAATCAAAACTGTTGAAATTCTTGAGGGGGATGGCGGTGTTGGAACCATCAAGAAAGTTAGTTTTGGCAAAGGTTTGTTTCTGTTGACTTGTTAATTTTATCTATCTAATATATATATTGATCGAAAATACTGGCTAGTATCTTAATTTCTAATTTATTTTTCCATTTGACAGGGAGTGAATACAACTATATAAAGCACAAGGTTGAGGGACTTGACAAAGATAGCTTTGTGTATAGCTACAGTCTGATTGAAGGAGATGTCATTTCTGACAAACTTGAGAAAATCTCTTATGAGATTAAGTTGGTGGCATTTGGCACTGGTTCCAATATCAAGAGCATCAGCCACTACCACACCAAGGGAGATGTTGAGATCAAAGAAGAACATGTTAAGGCTGGAAAAGACAAGGCCCTTGGTCTGTTCAAGCTTATTGAGAACCACCTTCTGGCAAATCCTGATGCCTACAACTAAAACCATCTATTTGGCAACAAACTTGTGTCTTGCTTTCTCCGTTTATTCAAGTGTGTGGTTTTCAAATTTTCAGCATACCAAAGCAATTCTCTGACTTGCACTTTGGATATGATTACAGAGCAATGCTGTATTTAATTTTAATCTAAATAAATAATATATATACTACTTATATGTAAGTTATTCGATGATATTTAGCCTTTGGAGTAGCCAGAGCTGCCAGACTCTGTGCGATTAGTCTTTTGATCAAGTAAAAGGTGTGCGACTTCATGTAGATAATAATGCCGGATTTATGGGAATTTTTTTTTAACAAGGCGATAGTATCTGAATTTACGTGAATTGATAATTAATAAAATCAAGAAAAATTACAGAAAGCGATAATTAATATAAAATGGGAAAACAAGTAATTTTAAAAAATCTACATAAGTAAAAGAAAAAAGGACTGATAGCCTTCGACATTTCCACCGTTATGCATTGACCAGTACGAATTAGTTTACTAGGACGTTGACCGTGAAGGAAGTTGATACGGGGAGTAGCTAACTCATCCTTCTGCTGGAGGAGCATTTGCAATGCGAGAGATGTGTTATCTCGGGGTTTGCAATGGCTAATTGGGAATGGAAAATCGGTAGAATTCTGGGAAGACCCCTGGATTCCCCTCCCATCCATGTTTCGGATTTTCTCCCCAAGGCCGGCAAATTGTAGTTTGGAATTTGTAGCAGATTGGATTGAGCCCATGTCCAAAGCCTGGAGGGTGGATCTTCTCAATTCTTTCCTTCCCCCGGTGAAGGTTGATCCTATTCGCCCTATTCCTCTCAGTCTACGTGATGTGGCTGATCAGTTTATTTGGCACCATGAGAAAAAGGGCATTTTTCGGTGAAAACGGCGTACCACGTCGCGAGGGAATGGGTTCGGCCGACTGCTCAACATGGTTCATCTTCTTCATCCCCAAATCCTTTTTCCGAATTGTGGTCGAAAGTTTGGCACGCAAATGTTCCCCCAAAGGTCCGTGTCTCCTTTTGGCGTTTGTGCACTGAATCACTCCTGACAAGGAAAAATTTGGGCTTGAAACATATTACGACGGATCTATTGTGCGTACTATGCAACTCCCCCACGGAGTCGGTATCCCACCTTATTAGGGATTGTCAATATGCTCGGTGTGCTTGGTTGTTCTCCCCTCTGGGGCCTTACCAATCCTCCAGGATTCACCGTCCTTCAAAGCTTGGGTGTTGGACCTTCTTTATAACCTACCCCTTTAAATATGTTGGAAGTCTTCATGATGATTTGCTGGGCTGTTTGGAACTCTCGCAACAACAAGCTTTGGAATGACCGCTGTGATTCTCCAGATTTAATGGTGACTAAGGTCCTCTCATGGTGGTAACAATTTGTGTCGGAAAACACCCCCTTGCTCAGTGACTTCCAACATATACTTCATAGTGACTTTATATGAATTACAGGGAAATGGTCTATAGACTCGTGTAAGTCATGTGCATATATTTGATGAAATTGTGAGTTGAACTTGTACGATCCCTATTTGATAAAATTGGCAAATTAGTTTGATGAACTTGTACGATCCTAACATATATGGCGTGAGGTACACTAATTTAAAAATCGGAAATCAAATAAGCTAAGAAAATTCGAATGCAAGAAGCAAGAACTGCGGATGGAGGTGAGTCATGCCATATACGGATGAGGAAAAACAAGCTCTTGAATCGTCATCTTGTTGGAGTTTGAGACCCCCTTGTCCCACATTGATCAACAGTATTTTTTCACTAACCTTTATATAGGCTTATTCCCTTTTCTTAGTAATTGGAACTTGGACCATTTGGAAATGGATTGAAGGCTTGGGCCTTATGGTTGTGTAGATTAAGCTTGAATATAATATAGCCTAAATACAATTAATATTAATTAATCAAGACAAGGGCCTTGTGGCACTTGGGGCCTTGAAATTTAAAATTAATCAGATTCATTAATTAAAAACGTTTTGATTAAAAGACACATCTATTAGAAAGAGTTGTATATTACACTGAATATGTATTTGAAAGGGTCCCTCCTTGTCTTCTGTACAAAATTTCCAGAGAGTAAACACACAAAGCAATTCGCTAGAGTTCTATAATCCAGTGCGGGTTGTAGAATTAGGTGTAGAACCACAAGCACACGAGCGGGACGGAAATACTGTTTGAAGGACATAGAGTTTAGGCTAGCCTCTACCTTCAATTCATTCAAGTTAGTATCATTTTAATTTTTTGTATTTATTGTGTAATTGCATTCTGTATTGCAAGTATTTTTGAATAATAAAGTATAAGTATTTCGGTGCTGTATTTCTATTATTTATTGGTTCTAAATTGTTCTCCAACACATCCTGGGTGTATTAACTCATGGGCTTATTTATGGTATGAATTACCAAATGGTTTACAAGGAAAACGAAATCAGAGTTATCCCTTCATCACTTTATGCCATATGTGGTAGAGATTCAAATGTTATTCAATTATTATGATTTGCGGGTAATTGAAATGTCGCTTCTCATGCGTTCAGTAAACTAAAGGAGTTAGGAAGGTGGAACATAACATTGGCAAATACAAACTTGCATTAAGAAAGACTTGCAGGAATAATCAGATCCATTAATTTTGAGTTTATTGCAAATGAAAGGAAAAACAACATTCACTCTTCAATCAAAACCTTCAATTACGTACAAGCCAAACACTGTTTTGGAAGGGAAGAAAATATATAAAACGGATTAAAATCACACCAATATTTGACGGCAAAGATGACACGAGACTGAATAACACATAAATGCAGCAGCAGACAATGTTTAGTTGTAGGCATCCTGGTGCTCCAAGAGGTAGTTCTCAATCAGCTTGAAGAGGTGGGAGGCCTTCTCTTTGCCAGCCTTAACATGCTCTTCCTTGATCTCAACATCTCCCTTGGTGTGGTAGTGGCTGGTGCTCTTGATGATGCAACCGCTGCCGGAAGCCACCAACTTAGTCTCGTAACAGATTTTCTCAATTGTTTCGGAGATAGCATCTCCCTCAATCACACTATACTTATACACAAAGTTGTCCTTGTCAACTCCATCGATTCTGTGCTTCACATAGCTATATGTGCTACCTTCACCGAAGTTGATCTTCTTAATGGTTCCAACTCCACCATCTCCTTCAAGGATCTCAGTGCTCTTCACTGCCTGTGGTGCAATCTTGGGGATGAGGTTGTCAGCATCAAGAACAAAGGCATTGTACAATCTAGCGGGGGGGATGACGGAGGTGAACTCGGATTCGTATGTGAAAACACCCATGATTATGAGATGTGTTTATGAAGTGGGAAAATAACCGACGAAGAGGAAGACTAAGAAAGAAAGATGATGTATTGGGGGATTTTGAGTTGTGAAGAAGTGAGGAGGATATTGGTATTTATAGGCTTGAGGTAGAAGGTGGATCAAAAGGTTTACGCAAGCTCCTAATTGTTTAATGGGTTTTATTCATCGTGGACGTGGGAACCATTACTTTTGTACAAGGAAATTTTGTAATGTAATCAAGGAAAGGACCATCAGGAAATTGAATAAGAAATGGCCAATTACTCACGGGGTGGACTATCCTCAATTTTTTCTTTTGCTTACCAATTAGTGCTCTAGAGATCACACATCATTTTTTAAAGATATATTTTTACACTAAATTTGTGTTGAACTTGCATCCACATGTTCGAATCTAAGATCATTTATGTACAAATAAATAGAAATAACACTACACCGTAACACTAAGTTATTAATATTTTAAGGGTCATATTCTCTCATAACTTAACACTTTTTTGTCTTTCGCTGTTATATTTATAGGACTTTTCAATAATTCAATTTTTGTTGACGTATTATTGGAGTATCTCTAATCATATTCTCTATTAATAATTTTTGGACATTCACAACGGGCATAGTCACGGGCTGCGGACATAAGGGCATCTGAAAAAGATAATACAATAGGACTCTGTATTTGGATAATATTTGTTACAATTGAATATTCCAGTTTGGAGATGTGAAAAGCCAAATGACGGCCAATCAAAAGTCGACGCATTGCAGCCAATGTTGAATTGCAGGTCAAGTCATTCCTAAATTGAACTTCTGGAAGTGCATATACTAGTCGTGAGGCAGTAGGGACAACAATAGAATTGTACAGTACCAACTTGCATATACTGGTTGATGATCTACAGGCATAGCTGTTCACATCAGGTCAGGCTCTCAATTGTTGCGGTCTATATATAGCACCTACAGCATTCCCCTTCACTCCAAGTCAAAACCTGAATATTGTAGATCAACAATTTTCTTCATATTTCCTTAGAACTCTTTGATCGTTTTCATAATGGTTAGGCCATCTTCAACCGATGGCTGACCAGAGGGCTTGTTTTAGCCCTCTGGCCTTCCAAGATTTTCCAAGATATTAATATTTTAATAAACAGTACAAGTTCATATTTGCCTCCGTCTCCAACCGAGGGCCAAAGGGCCAGAGGGCTCGTTTTAGCCCTATCACAAAAAACCGTCTCCAACCGAGGGCCAAAAGACAATAGCGCCAAACATAATTTATTATTTAAAAACTACAACTTAAATGTTGTTTAAGTTTTACGTTGTTAAATGTTTTTTTTTATGTTGCATAATTTTTATGTTGGTTAATGTTATTAATATTGTTTCATATTGTTTAATGTTGTTTCATGTTACTTAATTTAATTTAATGTTGTCTAATGGCTTAGGAAGTTATAGAAAAAATAGAATTAAAAGAAACATGAAACAAATTTTGTGAAATAGAAGTTACTAGAAAATATGCCCGCGCGTTGCTGCGGGACTTGAATGCATCACCTTTAACTGCATGAATAAGACACATTTTACCTGAATAAATTCAACATAATCATGAATGAACAGAGGGATAGATGAGGGAATGGGATCGGTAAGATATGCAACTTCGTTTTTATATACATTCAACTTAACTGACATGAAAAGACATTGTACAATTAACAGGAAGAAACTGAACATTCTGTTTCCCTAATAAACAGAAGAAACAGAAGCAACATCTAGTTCACACAAAACTTGCCCTTGCAGTCAAGGTGGCAAAATATACATCCTGTAGGCTAGGCACATGTTTTAGCAGTTGTCAAAAAAAAAAAAAAAAAAAAAAAAAAAAAAAACCCTGTTTTGTTCTTATTCTGGCATCTAAGTTTTCAAGCTCAAACGTGCAAAGCCAAAAACACGTAGGGCGCCTGTTTCCATAAGAAACAGAAGTCTGAGAAGTGTATTTTAGTTTAGAGAACATGCATGTATTTTCTAACAGCGAAAACATGAGCAAATATGATTGGGCAAAAACATATAATGGGTAGAAACATGAGAGTAAAAAATCCAAACCTCAAGAATATGATTGTACTATAGCAAATATGATTGTGTCGTACTCGAGGATCAAATGGGGACTTGAGATTTTGGTAACTGTGTAGAAGAAAAAGAACAACAATGGAACATTCCTAGAAACTAACCCTCAAACCCATCCAATTCGGATCAACTAATCAACCAAATTAGGCCAATGAATAACCCTAAATTTACTCAACCAAATTTGCCCAATCAATAATCCTTAAGGATAAGATTATTTTTAGCCACACACACAAATTCACACGCTAGTCATTTGATACATTTAACTAATTCTGCAAGTTGTAAATGATTAAGAATAATTTAGAATGATTAAGAATAAATTGCAAGTACTTGAAAAGCTGAGTAGCGAAGTTTGGAGAAGTCGTTAAATAATCACTATCTGTGGATTGAGAATAACCTGCATTCACATTGCACAAAATTCTATGAAAATGGGGACAAATTAACATATTTGAAATAAGTATTAAGATGCAAATATTCTCAAGATAAATTAAGCAGAAAAGGAACGAAAAAAATGATTCGCAACTTCAACTTACCATGCCAAAGAAGCTCCATAAGAGTAGTAGCTTTCTCCTTACTTCATGCATCCGTTGATCATGGAAATTATAAAAATTCATCCAATCAAAAGACAATGTAAAAGTTGTGAAAAGGTAAATATGCAACAAAGAATCTTAAGATATACCTGACAAATTTGCAATTCCATTATAATTTCACACAAAAAAAGATCAAATTTTGATTCAAACAAAACAATCTCATCTGTTACAGATTGGACCAACCAAAAAAATATTATACTAACATGATTTTCAACCCAACTATAAAAAGGAGCTTTATAACAGCACAATCAATATCATTTCAACCCAACCAAAAAGAAACTGATTGTATGTGATAAGTTTGTAAACACAAAGAAAATGTATCATATTTCATGACTAATCAAAAGCTTACAAATGTCAAGTAAGAACATACGTAAGTTCAAATGCAAGAATGCAAATGAAGACAATTCACTCCATTGTGTTCAGCAAGGGAATACAAAGTGACGAAAATAGTATGATAGTGATTCATACCTTTAACTTGATCTGATGGCAGGGCATTGAATGTTGATTGAACAAAATTTTGCAAGTAATGAGGTTGCATAAAAACTTTCACCTGAAAAGTTAAAACCCACCATTATATGAAGGTAAATAAGGAAAATCTAATCCAATCCAATCCAATAATCAGAACAATCGGAGAAGTGTATTTTAGTTTAGAGAACATGCATGTATTTTCTAAAAGAATATGATTGTATTACAGCAAATATGATTGGGTTGTACTCGAGGATCAAATGGAAACTTGAGATTTTGGTAACTGTGTAGAAGAAAAAGAACACCAATGGAACATTCCTAGAAACTAACCCTCAAACCCATCCAAATCAGATCAACTAATCAACCAAATTAGCCCAATCAATAACCCTAACTTTACTTAACCAAATTTGCCCAATCAATAATCCTTAAGGATAAGATTATTTTTTAACTATACACAAATTCACATGCTAGTCATTTGATACATTTAACTAATTCTGCAAGTTGTATTTCTGTAAATGGGAATGAAAATGTAACTTTTGGTCTTATACTTTCATAACCAATACAAATCTCAAATGTGGGAGTCTCAAAAGTTGTTTCATTTATTTCATTCCAAAGAAATTTTTTGTTCGGACAGATATTCGAACAAAATACTCTCTGACCGACACTCACTTAAACACGTTAGAAGAACTCACGTTTCTCTACCTGAAAAGGAGTTCAGGGATATGAAAAAAATACTTAATACCAAAAGCATAAACCACACTCAATACAATCAATAACTAAACTAACAATATATTCAACAATTTATCAAAAACAAACCATATAATTAATGAGTGGTGAGTGCAGACTTTATGGCATTCAGGGCACCAATTATCCTAACAGAGAATGTGTTTTGGTCCTCCTCCTTTGCCATTTCCTCCTCATCCCCTGAATCCTTATCACCTGCACATTCCAACACCGTCTCGAGAAGCACCTTTAGCAAACACCAGGGAGGAAAAACTAATTAATTTTTTTAAAACAAATATTAGTGCACTACAGAAATATATCATCTATAATAAGCAAACGCGCGAATGCCTGAAAACACTAAAAGTCTAATATATCCTTGTATTAGTCCTAATAATCCAAAATCACGTCAAATGGAGGAAAATGATATATCAGAATCGAATACTCATACTAATAGAAATTCTTTCCTTAATTTATCTAATTATCGAAATAAATAAAAAATTAGATCAAGAAAACCAAGAGCCAGATACAATTTTGATGCAAAGCAAGCAAAGTTAGAATACCAAGAGCCAGATTATGCTATTAAATCAAAGAAAACTGAGATGCAATGGAATATATACAAATCTAATCCAAGAAAGCAAACCAAAACCCTTACTGTCTGAGAGAAATTGGGATAGAACATCGTAGAGAGAAATGATTCATGTAGCCACAACAGACACATCACTTGTGACAGTTTCCAAGGGAATTCCGAATTCAAGATTGATCAACCTAAACCATAATTAACTCACAATTTAGTTCCATCAATATGATAGACATACCAAACTGTCAACAAACTAACAAAAGTAAACATAAACATCCCTAGAAATAGCCTAATGGTAGGATTATGTAGTCCAACTGTGCTGAACCAAATAAGAAAAAAATTCAAGTGATCAAAGCTAATCTAGAGCTTTCACCGCTCCCAAACACAGCAAGAATCAGAACATGCGTCGTCAATTTCAAGAAATTCACAGAAAGAGAAAAAGAAAGGGATAGAGTAGTACAAACCTCAGATCGACTGGCCTCAATCCTCTCTATTCCCTCATCATCGTAGCAGAAATCGACAAAAGCATATATACAATGACATTTTATCAGATACTGGTTGGACCACGTTTATTACCTGCCATAAACAGAGAAACAATTTGGTATAAGAATCTGATAAGAATCTCATTCCACAAAACTTCTTCAGTGTTGGCCTAAACAACTGCAAGCAAAAAAATCCCCAAGATACATACTTTCATCCAAATCATCCACCGCCATTAACAAAACCACACCCTATATCTTCCTTTAGCTTAAGATTAAAAGAGTTAACTTATCACCCAAATAAAATAGGTAGATTAACGAATATGAGTTAAAAAGTGGAGGAAAGCAACAAAACCAATCAAACAACGAATTGTCAATAGAATAAAACAACAAATATAGATATCTAAATCAAAGTTTTTTTGACAAAATTTGTGCAAGCATAGTTTCATTTGACAAAAATGTGTTCCCAATTTAATAGGCCATTACTACTTACCAGAACAAATTAGTTTTCGTATCGAAACCAACATAAATCTAAGCAACATACACATTTTAATAGTAAACAAATCGAAAAGCAGATTAATAGCCACATCACAAATTCCCCCATATTAAATAGTGATGTTACCTCACCAGTAGGAGCAGAAGGGTGGTGTGTGGTTGCGCTGTGGCCTTGTAGCAAGAAGGATGACGACATTTGCTTGCCGTTTAACCAAAAATTACCCGTCGAATTTCTGAATTTCACCGGAAAAATGCAAATGTTAGGATTACCTTTGATTAACCTTAAAATGAACTGAAATCCAACATGCAATACCTGAATTTATCTTTTGGGAGTGAGAGGAGTCATTTCCAGGTAATGGCAAGGGCCAATTCACCTGCAGATTTGGTTTTTGAGATCTGATAGCTTCCCTCCAATTCGAAAAAGCTCTGGAAGGTCGTGAAATTACCCATGAATATCGGTTGCATCAACATGCAGGCAAAGCATAAAAATTATAATAAATCAACAATTGTCAAATAGAAAAGAGAATGTATTTAAGGTTGAAAGAGAGCAGGCTTAACATTTTGTCCTGGTAATTATATTCCAACTCTTCCATATATAGCAATTATATTCTAACTTTTCCATATAATAACTTAATTGTTTTTTCAACCCTGGAACCAATTACATAAATACGAATGCAGCATTTCTATTGAAGGATATAATTCTCCTCTCCCTATATTCTTCCCCCTTCTCTAACCAAATAAAAATCCCCAAAAATATGCACAAAGAATTCTAAAAAAAAAACAATACAAAATTAATGCAAGCAAAGAAAAAGAAACGAAAACTCTTCTGTTAGATTCTATTAGTTTCTTAGTAACCAGCAGTGAAATGTTTCATCCTCTCACCAATTAATTAATATGTGAATAAACGAATGACTAAACTTTCTTAATCACAAAAGGCACAAAGCAAAAAACGAAAATCATTTACCTTAATGACAAAGCACTCTGGAGTTTGAACGGTTACATTATCTTATTGTTTAAAAACTGAAAATCTACAAATGTCAACATTTGCACATATATCAGAGAAGGCATTATCGGCTGGATTTATCCTTTAAGAAAATCGACAACAACTGTAACGTAAACTACCAAATACCAAATTAAATACTCGAACATGACAACCCCAAACATAAACAAAATTGTATATGAATTCAAAATAATATTAATTAGGGCACAAAACATAAACAAAATCCCAAACCAATTAAAAAAAAAAAAACCTAAGGGCAAGATAGGCCAAACCCGTGCATTCCTCATCTTTCCCTTTCCTTCCCGTCTCTTTTGCCCTCATGCCATTAATCTCTCTCCTCTTAGAATTATATAAACAACAGCAAAAAACAATAATACAGTAATGAAAATAAACACAGACCTTAACAAAAAAAAAAAACCAATTACTCATCAACTTCATGTATATATAAAAGAGATGAGACTATCTTTTATAAAAGATATAAAAGAGGTTAGAGTGCAAGGGCAAGACTGAATGAAATCATGAAACTTAAAAGAGAGATCTTACATGAATCAATTGTCATCATACAAAACATGGAAACTGGTAGTGCAGCTAGATGCCTCAAGACCCTCAGCCCCACAGAAGTCATAGAACTTGGCAGCATATGGTAGATTGTCGGGTCCCATTTCATAGTACCTTAAATTGATAAAAAAAATAAAATAAAACACCAATCAAATCAAGCTGTCATTTCTAATTAATCAAATTCCAGACCCTAAGAAATATAGAAGCATAGTTATTGAAGAGCAATTTCTCTCTCTCTCCCTCTCTCTCTCTCTCTCTCTCCCTCAATATTTCCAGTCGACTGCGAAATAGAAAATACAACCCAAAATGCCCAAAAAGCAGAAGCTCAAAGGCAAAAATAGAAAATAAAAACGCATTCGAAAAGAGAAAGTCGTTGAAATTTACCCAAAATGTACAGAGATCCAGGACTCACAGAAAAATTAATTTCAAGATCAAACACTAAAGGGATGTGAAACTTTACCCTTTTTCTCATTTGTAGGTACCAAAATCAATTTACAAAATTAAGGTTGGCCTTTTCATAGTCTCTATTGGGTAATGAAAGTTATGTGAAAAGTTCGGAAATAACCAAACCAACATCCAATTTAGTACAGACCTAAGAAAAACATAAGTAAGAAACTATTTCCAATTTGTCATTCATTTATCAAACACAGTAATACAGTCATAGAAAAGCTCTTAACTCACTTATCAAAATTGAATTAATTAAACTGGATGTTGGGGTCAATATTTTGTGTCCGCCTAAGGATATTTGAGGCTAAAAATTTGAACTCTACTCAGTTTAGCTTCTTAGTTATTTTATTTTTCGGTCTTCGGATTTCGACTAAATATTTAACATTCCATAGTGTAGTTTCAACTTCAACTTTCCCGTGAGAGCTTGCATACTGGATTTACCTTTTGCAATTTAAATTACATGACTCAAAATACAACCCAAATAGAACACAAATGGCCCATAGAAAAAAAATGCGAAATACTTACCAATCACTATTCACAGTTTTAGTCAAAGAACTCAAATTTCAGAGATACAAAACAGAGAAGCTTGTATGAATCATTTATAAAGGTTACCTCCTTTTGGTTGAAAAACTGAAGGGTGACGCCAATTCTTCTTCTGCTTCCACCTCCTTATGGAACTTTAACTGCTAGTCACATTTGTATGTGAACCTGAAATCAGTACCCAGTCAGTACCTTTGGCAAGCTCATGGGGGTATTACAACATGTATGGGAAGATTATTGCAACTCTAATAAATGAAGAAGCATTCATTTGAGGATGTCGATGAGGGAGAGAAGAAGAAGAAAAGAAGAGCTAGTTGAGGAACAGAAGAATTTTGGTGCTGTGTTCGGTTTGGAGGTATGGTCTTAAGAGTTTACAAACTGCCTATATGATTCGCTTGTTTCAGTGTCTTCATTATCTCTAATTCTTTTTTACCACCTCTTCTTTCATGAAGGCATAATCGTCAGATTATTTTCTAACATAAAATATACACCCGTGAGTAGTTTAAAGCATAACTGTACTGAATCAAGCAGATGAAATAAACTTCAGTTTTGTTCGAGCAGAATTCAAAACCTAAAACCAGATATTAGAAAAGCTTATTAACATCTCAACCAAAAACCTTTAGCTCCTATTCAAACATTGTGGAATCAGTTTCAACAATGAAACCCGCTACAAAAGAGAAAATTTTGATTCAAATGGGTGACATTACATCTAACTGAAGAAACTAAAACAAAAGTATAGCAAATCATATACCTTATAATGTCAAGCAACCAAGTTGTTCCACCAACGACCCAAAATTCTGAAGGAAAAAAAAAGGGTAAATCTATTAGCAATTCAGAGCCCTTAAATTATCAAAAAAACTGGGATAACAGTAAAGAAATTAGCAAAAAATCGAACCCACCAATCATTGGTGACCTTCATATGAAAAGCAATCTCCCATACCGCAGCCTCTTGCGCCTATCCAAAAAATATAGACCTATAATATTCATTCCCCTAGGCACCAAAACCACCATAGTTGCCTCATCCCCCAAGTCGCAGAGCTATTCTCAAAATCCCACTATACCATTTTCCTAGCCGCCCCCAACTCCACTCTTCAATTCATCCTATCTGCCACCCAGCTCTATATCTATATTCTATAGTTCAGTAATAGGAATGAGCTTATCGTAGTGCGTAACTACGCTAATGATTCATAATCAAACAAAATTAAAGATGAAAAGTCTTGGTACCTGTAGGCAAAGGCTAAATCCACCAATCTCTTCCTAATCAAAGTATAATAGCTGCAAAAAGAGGTGGTTCATGGTGAACCCCTGAGTGAGAAAGAAAATGTTTAATCAAAGAGACTTGAAACTCATAACCACATAAATAACAATCTTATTATTATCATCGATGAAGGTAATATCCTTTATTATGTTTTTAGACACAAATCATAAGACAATATTTCTAGTTTCATTTCACCAGTAATTTATACCCTGCCCCCTTCCAGTTTAAACTTGATAGGATGCTTTTCTTTAACCCTAGTTCTTGTCAATCAGTGAGGAGTAATAACACATACAGACATTAAAGTTGAAACCTTTTCCAAGTAGATGCCACACATACAAAAAGATATTAAGCTTAAAGACCTTAATATCCAGCTTTGGATAATTGGCAAGTATCTGCTAACCTTCCCTTATATGCTACAAATTCTGACCTTAATGGAATTTGATTAGAATTATTCAAAGCACAAAAATACCCGTAAACACAAACGAAATTCTTTGAGCCGCACGATATTGCTCAATATATCATGGAGTATTAATCAGTCAGATAACCACAATCAAGGCAACAACAATAAAAACAAAAGCAAAAATTCCATGCTTTAAGTAGAAAAAATTCACTTCTGTTGTAACGAATCGACATTAGAATCAAGCAACCAAGTTATGAAATACGAATTTAAAATGTAACTATTTACTGTGTCTATAATGAATCTGTGAAATCAAATAGTTAAACCCTAAAAAGCACCACTGCAAATAGCATAAGAAAATCAAAATTAACCCCAAAGAAATTGGGAGAGAAGATTATGAAAGGGAATACCTTTCGGCCCTTTTGAGCTATTGGAAAAAAAACCCAACAGAGCCAAAGCCTCCAAATCAAGACTGTTGTGGGATTTTGAAGAGAGAGAAAATATCTGAAGAAATAAAGAGAGAAAATACCAAAAGAAATAAAGCAAGAGAGGGCGGGAACCATAAGGGGGAAGAAGAAGAAGAAGAAGAAGTAGCAGCAGCAGCAGCACAAACGAAGCAAAGGAAGAAGAAATAAGGGGAAAAAAAGGACGATTGAAATTAATGCATCAACCGACGATTGAATCGAGAGTTATGGAAGAAATTTGTACTTTACCGACATGTAGATAAGCTCGGATTTTTGAAGCGAAACGAAGACGATGAGTGGGTTGCGGCGGATGCCGAGTTCACTCGGAGCGGATTCGTCTTCGCCCTCCTCCCCAACCTAAGATGCGCTCAAACGTCATAGCGGATGGATGGTTACAGAGAGAGTCGGGAGAGAAAAAGAGGGAACGATTTTCGACAATTAAGATGACAAAAGTATCCTCCAAACTTTTAATCCGGACCGTCCGATCTTAACCCTAGATGGGCATTCCCATCATTTGAACACCCAAAGGGCCGGCCTCATCAACAATTGAGGTAAGCCCAGCAAACACAGCCCAAAACGAACTAACCCAGCCGCCTTCATCTAGTGGCAAGTTTGTAAATAAACTGAAATGTGGTCCAAAACACTGTTCATTTCTACAGTGCAATTTTGCCAGCTTCTTTAGACTAAAGTAATAGGAAAAAAAATAGAATTTAAAATAAAATGAAACAAATTTTGTGAAATAGAAGTTATAGGAAAAAAAATAGAATTTAAAATAAAATGAAACAAATTTTGTGAAATAGAAGTTATAGGAAAAAATGAAATTTAAAAAAAATATATGAAACAAATTTGTAAAATAAAAGTTATAGGAAAAAAAAATAGAATTTAAAAAAAAATATATGAAAAATAGAAGTTATAGGAAAAAAATTTTAAATAAAAAATAATAATAAAACTGTTAAAAAAATATTAAAACAATTCCTTTCGATTATATAACTGGCAGTAATACATTTATACTAGTAATACAATGTATTCCTATAGGTTATAAACGCCAGGAAATCCAACATAAGCAAAAAAAATAAATGGCCTGTCGGGAAGTGGCTAGCCCTCTAGCCCTTTGGCCCTTTGGGATTCCGTGAGGCCCTCTCAGATTCCAAAGCCCTCTGGCCTAGCCCTCGGTTGGAGACGATTTTCGACCCTCTGGCCATCTGGACCCTTCAGTTGGAGATGGCCTTAACCCCTCATGCCTACAAGTTACAACTAAATTAAAACCTGTTCATATTTGTGGTATGTGTTCAAGTGCTTTGTTTTGGCTTCGTTTTGATTTATAGGAAAATAGTAATAAGACATTCTAGTTGGAATAAAATTAAAAAATATTAATATTTTTGTAATACTCTTCAAGAAATATTAATGAAAGTCTTGGTTCTAACCTGTAACTTGCAAATGTTGGCATAAATTACGATCAGCACAAACCTTTCAAAATTACTTTGACTAAAATAAGTATTTGATGTCACATGAAAATTAACCTTGCACAAACCTTTCAAAATTACTTTGAACTAGTTGACGTCACATTAAAATTACGATGAGCACAAACCGTTCAAAATACATCTTCCTATACACCTCCGACTAAAGCTGCTCAAAGATGTATAATTTTGGTCAGAAAGTTCTTCAATGAGCAATTTTAATGTGGCGTCAAATACTCATTTTAGTCAAAAGTCAAGTTTTTTTTTTTAATTATCTTTTTATGTCTCGAAAGGAATAATCAATTAACAGTTGGTCCAAATTTAAATTTGCATCAATTCTTTTGAGCAAACTACTTGTAAATCTTTTGAAAGTATAAATAGTGAAAGACTTTGAAGTTCTACCAAAAATCAGAACTTCAAGTTCTTTCACTATTTATGAAAAGGCTCGTGCAGGTTAAGACATTTAATGTCCTTTTTTTCCTTCTTCTTTAGATTTAAGCAATAAGAAAATTCATAGCCAAAAGTTATATTTGGCTGTAAATATAGCTAAATCATTTCTAATGCATTGAAAAAGTACCGTTATTTTTTATTGCAATATGAAGTCATGATATAACCTTGGAGTCAAGTGAAACCATTACCCTCGGTAGATGGAAAATACTAGAAAGATGACATATTTGAACTACATTAGTGCATCATTTGGTGTGATAAATGAGAACAAACAAGCATGCATAAGTATAACAGAACTAAACTCGTGGCATAGAGTCGATTATATAACGTACAAATACTAACTCGACTGGTTGTTTATCGATATTCAGGCTCATTCAACACAAACCTACTATAAATATTATGTAACATCCCATATCGTTCAGGGGAGTAGATCCTGTAAGCCTTATATGCATATTCTTATCTCTACCTAGCACGAGACCTTTTGGGAGCTCACTGGCTTCGGATTCCATGGGAACTCCGAAGTTAAGCGAGTAGCGCGCGAGAGCACTCCCATGAGGGGTGACCCACTAAGAAGTTTTCGTCTGAGTTCCCAGAAACAAAACCGTGAGGGCATGGTTGGGGCCCAAAGCAGACAATATCGTACTACGATGGAATCGAGTCCGGAATGTAATGGGGATCCGGACCAGGATGTGACATATTATGTTAAATTTTCAGAAACACTAATATGACGATATTCTAAACCGATCATGCGATCCCATTTGAATAAAACACTTGGGAACAAGTAACATTGTAGTCTCATGGCAGTCCTTATGTTGGTCAAAGAGTTCAGATATGTAAATGTGTAATGAATCAAAAAGGGCACTTAGGTTTATTCTAGACCATAAAGATATTATTGAGTCAGTAGTCAACTTAGCACACCAGCTCTGCTGTAATATTTCGATCATCAAGTCTTAGAACATTTTCTATTAAAAAAATTCCACATTATTAATTAGCACACCAGCTAGTTGTATTAAGTTGGAGGGTAAAGTACAAAAAACTACCTCAACTATTGCGGTCATGACAGTTTCATACCTCATCTTTTAAAATTGACAATGTCATACCGCATCTTACAAATTTGTGACAATGTCATACCTCCGTCAATTTTTCTGTTAGTTTTTCTGTTAAATGCTGACGTGGCAATAGACGGGGACCACTTTCTATTAAAAAATTAATAAAATATTATTAAAAACTAAAAAAAATATTTAATATTTTTTAAATATTAAAATAATAAATAAAAGTAAAATTAAAAAAAAAAAAGGTAAAGTACAAAAAACTACCTCAACTATTGGGGTCAGGACAGTTTCATACCTTATCTTTTAAAATTGACAATGTTATACCGCATCTTACAAATTTGTGACAATGTCATACCTCTGTCAATTTTTCTGCTAGTTTTTCTGTTAAGTTTTGACGTGGCTTGATTCGGGACATATTTTCTATTAAAAAATTATTAAAAACTAAAAAACAATTATTTAATATTTTTTAAATATTAAAATAATAATAAAAGCAGAGAAAAAAAAACCATCTGTTTGTCCCTCCCCTCCCCCTCCCCCCTCCTCTCTCTTCTCCCTATCTTCATTTTCTTCCCCCCACCTGCAAACCCAAAAAAATTAAAAAAAAATTTTTTTTGAAAACCCAACAACCGCCTACAGAAGAACAAGAAGGAGGAGGAGGAGGAGGAGGAGGAGGAAGAAGAAGAAGAAGAGGAAAAAAAAGGAGAAAGGAAAAAAAAAATTCCCCCTATCAGCGCGGAAGAAGAAGAAGAAGGGAGAAGGAGAAGGAGGAAGAAGAAGAAGAGGAAGAAAAAATAAAAAACAAATTTGAAAACCCATCAACACCCCCCTGCGGAAGAAGAAGAAGAAAGAGAAGGAGAAGGAGAAGGAGGTGGAAGAAGAAGAAGAGGAAAAAAAGGAGAAAGGAAATTTTTTTTTTTTTTAAACTTTTTTTTTTAAAAAATAAAAAACCATCAAACCCCCTGCGGAAGAAGAAGGAAGAAGAAGAAGAAGGAAAAAAAAATTATTTTTTTTGAAAACCCATCAAACCCCAAATCCACCACTTTCATTCATTCTCCACATCCTCTTCCGCACCCATCCTCCACCTTCTTTGTGCACCTATCTTCCCACCGACGAGATCTGGGTTTTTTTTTTTTTTTTTTTTTTTTTCTGGGTTGCAGGAAGGAGAAGAGTGTGGGTGTGGGTGTGGGTGTGGGGAAATTGAGTGTGGGTGTGGGTGAGGGAAGAAGATGAAGAAAGGGAGAGGAGGGAGGAGGGAGGAGGGAGAAGGGAGGAGGGGAGGGACGAAATGAGGGTTTTTTTGTTTTGGCCTTTTATTATTATTTAAATATTTAAAAAATATTAAATAATTATTTTTTAGTTTTTAATAATTTATTAATAGAAAGTAGGTCACGAATCAAGCCATGTTAGCACTTAACAGAAAAACTAACAGAAAAATTGACAGAAGTATAACATTGTCAAAAATTAATAAGATGCGGTATGAAATTGTCAATTTTAAAAGATGAGGTATGAAACTTTCGTGATCCCAATAGTTGAGGTAGTTTTTTGTACTTTAAACTTTTTTTTTTAATTTTACTTTTATTTATTATTTTAATATTTAAAAAATATTAAATATTTTTTTTAGTTTTTAATAATATTTTATTAATTTTTTAATAGAAAGTGGTCCTCGTCTATTGCCACGTCAGCATTTAACAGAAAAACTAACAGAAAAATTGACGGAGATATGACATTGTCACAAATTCGTAAGATGCGGTATGACATTGTCAATTTTAAAAGATGAGGTATGAAACTGTCATGACCCCAATAGTTGAGGTAGTTTTTTGTACTTTACCCTAAGTTGGAATTTACAAAATCAACTTCTAGAGGTGCCTTTCTTTGACTATTCAAATTGGAAACAGCCAATGGGAAATTAAAAACCGTCCAAATTTCTCTATCAGTGGGGGTCCACATTACATGACAGCCCCTCAGCAATAACCTATAAATACCACCTCGATATCTTCCACCATCAAATACCTTCATTATCAATTTCTCTTTTGATCTTCCTTCACATTTCATTCTTACTTCGATCATTTTCTAAGCTCTCAATCATTACCATGGGTGTCTTCACATATGAAACTGAATTTGCCTCAGTCTGCGCTCCTGCTAGGTTGTACAATGCTCTTGTTCTTGATGCTGACAACCTCATCCCAAAGATTGCTCCACAAGCAGTTAAAACTGCTGAAATTCTTGAGGGAGATGGAGGTGTTGGAACCATCAAGAAGATTAGCTTTGGTGAAGGAAGTGAATACAGCTATGTGAAGCACAAGGTTGATGGAATTGACAAAGATAACTTTGTCTACAATTACAGTTTGATTGAAGGAGATGTCATTTCTGACAAGATTGAGAAGATCTCTTATGAGACTAAATTGGTGGCTTCCGGTAGCGGTTCTGTCATCAAAAGCACCAGCCATTACCACACAAAGGGAGATGTTGAGATTAAGGAAGAGCATGTTAAGGCCGGGAAAGAAAGAGCCCATGGTTTGTTCAAGCTTATTGAGAACTACCTTGTCGCCAACCCTGATGCATATAACTAAAACCATCGATCTAAATATGATTCTGCACGCTATGGAGTAGGGGAAACAAATTTTGTATCCTCTCCTTTTTTTTCTGTTTATTCAG